AATATATATTAGTCACCTGATCTTATTTGATATATTTGTTACCGTTACTGAATGAATCTTATTATTCCCGAAATATATAACTTAACCGGGTCGGCCGAAAAATCATTCGGCAAATTTTTACAGGTGTCCCAGGAATTATGATAATAGCTGTAATCTTAAAGAGCTGTTAGAATGATAATTTAGTCATCCTAGTATCGCCCATAAAAAATGTAGCTGACGTTACTTGCCATCACGTGATTATGACATTTAACTTTTCTTGATTATTACTGTATTAATCATTATCGTTATACTATATTGTTCCGTATGTCGTATATAAAAATTTTAACATTAACGATAATATTCAATATGGATAGAAAAAACTTGTGGTTCATATATACGAAACAAGATATGAAAATTATGCGATAAAAATGACTTCATACTTAACAGTGACGATGATTAAGAAAATTCGAATGATGTGCTCGAAGAATGTCAACATTAAATTATTATTATCAAATTATTATATATTAGAGTAAAAAAAATTCCAAACATTTCACGAAATAAACCGAACCGAAATATTTGGCCCATTCAAATTTTAAAGCTTTGGAAAATATGGTTGATTGAAGACATTAAAAAACTTGAAACCCGCAAAACAACTTCGAATTTGGAAGGATTTAAATCATAATACATGTATTGGTTCACATAATTCAACTTTTAATTATTTTTATGTGCACTATTTAAAACAGATACTAAAGTGTTTAGTTAAAAGTAAAAAAATTATTATAAAAATTACCGTACCATTCCGAAATTAAGCACCCCCGAAATTAAGCACTACCAAATTTTGTATAATATCCGAAAATAAGCACCCCCTAAGTATAATCGTATCGGATTTTTTACTAATCAAGTCTACTATATGTTTCTAAGCTATTCTCCAGGTCAAGACGATTCTGATGGTAGTAAAATTATCAAAATCGATTCAGTAGAACTTTTACAATTACTCTTCAAAGTTCAGGCAACATTTACTTACATGACTAAAGATCATATAAACAAATGTCGACTGAATTTTGAAGAGCAATTACTAAAGTTCTACTGGATCAATTTTTGCGATTTTGCCATCGTTAGAATCGCCTTGACCTGTAGAATATCTTTGCTTAGAAATAGTAGGAACGTTTACTTAACACAAAACCCACATCTTGCTTATGCAAGGAATTTGAGGAAGACGTAAACAGTTCATTTCTACCCCGCAGAATATTAGAAAAATCCGCAAATTGTCCATAACTACAATAGATTATTACATTATTATAAATTTAATTTATAAAATGTTTAAATCCAATAATATAAATACCAGTGCACTGTTCATGAATACTTAACATCATCGTATTGATTTATTAATTGGTATATTACAAAATAGGCTAAGTTCAAGAAATTTACCATTATATTAAATTAAATTTCATTTAATCAGCATTAATTTAGCTGGTAAGTTACATTACATCAAATTTAAGATCATGAATAATTGTTACAATGCTGTATTTTACATAATTTCATCATATCTGCTAGCGCTAGGGATGATTTATTTATTACCTTGCAACAGCACAATCTTGCCTTCCTTTTAGCGCGTCTTCTTTAAGCAGAATTTAGAAATCTATAGCCAATGAAATTTATCAAATGAATGAAAAAATTTTTGATCACTTAAAATTGTCTTAATCAAATAAAAATTTTCGTATTTTATGTACTCTGAGCTGGTGAACCCCGCCTAATTTCACTCTGTGAAACACCTATACTTTACTATGCAGATAATCAAGTCTAACCAATGGTTAACCCGGATATGGATTGAACTTAATCTCGATTAAAAAAAAAAAAAAAAAAAATCAGGGTAGATGAGTAATGAATTTATCTTATGAAACCAAGAAATTAACTATGTACAGCCTTATGTTAAATCCACAATCAATATTTCTAGTGATAAGATGATACGTAATCATGCAATAATGATATATAGTTCAATAAAGATTTTTGAAATTATTAAATTAAAATTTTTTAGCGGTATAATATTGTCCCGTGCTTTCAACGAGGAAATTTTTATCTACTTTATCATGTTCAAACGAGAAAACCTCAACTAATTTAACACCAGCAGCTTCCGGTAAAATTTCGGAACCATCTATCATAACAGGAACTAAATTTATATCTGTACCAATATTGAAAAGAGATGCAGGGTTTACCAAGCCTGTTGTAAGATTAACTTCATGAACAAAATCATGCTTTTGCGTTCTTATGTTAAGGCGTTCCATAGCTGCTGTTATATCAACGGTACCTTCAACAAAAGTACTATTATGTGCGTCACTTTGCCACATGGCAACAAATCCCGCAAAATTAGGGGATGTTGTTGGTGTCGAGGAATCTGCTGAGGGCAAATCAACAAATACCCTGATAACAAATGGTCCCTTTACTTTGCCTGACTCTATCGTCACTTTCACAAAAAATCGAGTGTCGTAATGCGGATCAGGTTTATAAAGTTCAAGAACATAATTTAATATTGCCGTTGAATTACCATAAAATTTTTCAACTTCAGGATAAGTATAACCAAGTTTTGTAAAATCTCGAACGTCATCAGATGTCCAAAATTCGGTTTCTGATTTTCGGAATGGTGTGAGTTCTGTGTATTCGTTAATCACCTCACCCATAATATTCGTATAAGTTCCATTTACATCAATATTTGATATAATCCAGCTATTAGGATATCTATTTAAAAAATAATTTATTTTTTAAAATTTGAATTATCTTTTAAATAAATTTTGTATGTTTTAAAATAGTACTTACATTTTCTGCCAAAGTGCAAAAATGCGATCCATATTGACATGATGAAAAGAGAATATTGGATCGAAAGATGCTATATCAACATAAGTCATATGCCCTCCAGTACCACCAATTACTACATGAAATCCATCATGGGTCGTTTCCCATGATGCAAAATGGGAAAATCCAAGTCTATTAAAAGGTTTTGGATGACCGGGGTTGAAATCTGGTAATTCTCCACCCTTTGATGTCAGACCGTGATTTGAAAACTTTGTAAAGTCACTTATGTGAAACATTTGATAAAATCCTGGTCTAAATACTGATTGAATATACGTTGACATATTTATATTCATTATGTCGACTTGATCGACATTTTTGTTGTTTGGATGACGTACTGTCTGGTATCCTTTCGGTGTAAATGGAATATAACTCACGTTAGGTACCGTATAATTTGCATCATTTGGATTTAAACCTTTTGGAAGTGGGTCTGCAAGATCCACTGGTAAGGTATAGGACTTTAACGGGTTTTTTACTTTTTGCTTGCCATTTGGGGTGTTTATTTCTAGGGTAGGCGTTATGAAAACATCGGGTACACCTTTAATCGCTTTTTCATCCGCCCAATCCCAATAAGGATGGCGGAGCTGTTTAGCTGCTTCAACGTATTTATCTTTTTGATCCGATGGGTATTTATTCGCAATTTCTTTCGCTTCGGTCCTTAATTGACCTTCTAATAAAAGTGCATATGCTCGATGCCATGTCGGGAATATAACATCTCCATGATGACAATATCCACCCCAACGGCCTCCTAAAAATTCCGACGATCGATAAGGATAGGCTCCTTCAATTCCATCATAGGCTGTAAATGGCAGCCCATGTATGCCAGCAATTTGATAAAATGACCTCATGTCGTCATAAGGACGATCTTGAAGAGCTTGGAAGCTTTGGATCAATAGATCAAACTGAGGGGCATACGATTGATTACTAGTCATGTCTAAGATATCCAAACGAGGATAAATCTCCTCATGTGGATAGGTAATAACTTTAGATGAATGACTCAATCCCATATTAGTGTAGTATTACAGTATTACAGTATTGATTATTTTTTTTTTTTTCTCCTATGGTTATGATAACTTTAAGTCGAGGGAAAGCCTTTATATTTATACTGTTATAAAATAAAATAGTGAGCACAATATTCTCGCCTGAAATTAATTAAAAAGTAAACTGCTCTCCAAAACAATATTACAGTTTAACGCCGCATACAGTGTCCAGAATCTTATTCAAGAATTTATTTTCATTGAAGATATTTACATCATCTTCGGAGATATTTATGCAATGTTAAACGGTGCTATAAATATTCTGACTGTTTATAGCTTGAATGTGCATGCGTTAATTTGGCTTCTATCTTACGTCTCAATGATTGAAAAATCCTATCATAAATAGAAAATCTGTTATTATCGCTGGTTTAAAATGGTTGAAAATAGCGAATACTCGAATGCTCAATTAGTTAAGAACATAATGATCGATTCTAATCTATAGAATAGTGATCAATATCAAGTAAGTATTCGAATATTCGGCAAAAAATTTTTTTTTTTGTAAATAGCATTCTATTTTTGATATTAAATTTTATTTTATTTTATTTTTCTTTAAACGTACGTACGTACGTATGTACATAGGTCACGATACCAGTGTTGAAAATTCGGCACAAACGTTTTATGCAAGAAAATTTTTTTATACAGGAATGTTATTTTATTTTTTGTGCAATTTGCACAGTAATTTTTAATTTTTGTGCAAAAAACAATACATGCAAACGAATTTTCAACACTTCACACGTGGTGAATAAATAAAAAAACAGTCCAACTTTATCATTATGCAATTCAGCCGAAATGGTATTATCTGTTACTACCAACTTCCATTTTAAGTTTAATTTATATAAAAATTTATTGGCTAAAAACGTGAATATTTAGTATCCAAATACCAATTATGGTGCAAATCTCTACTGATCGGCTAACGAACTTGCATAATCTTTAAATAGTCCCGAACTCTATAAAAATATTTCGAGTGGCGCTAAACTTTAAAATAATTTTGATCCTAACGCTAAGAAAATATGAATTCGAATTTAATAGTGAAAACCTATCGCTATAAATATTGCGAAAATTTAAATAAGTTTGTAAAAATAAATTCAAATTTTATAAAAAAAAAACAACTTTAAATAGTATGAACTCAATGACGTGGCTTTTAAATAAAGCGAATTTCAAATGGCACGGAGTTTCAAGCTTTTAGCGTAATAAAGTGGTACAAAAATATTAGGTAAAATGATATTTACATTATGTAATATGAGAATGACTGGTCTACTGCATTATCGGTGGTTTTAGGTTTAAACAAATGCTACAAGCCTCGGAATTTATTTAAGACTAAAATTCGTCAAAAACGGAATTTACTTGTTAAATGCTACAGCAACAAAATTGTATTTACAAGAAAAAAAAAATTTTTTTTCTATCAATTATCATGCATAATAGAATGCTCGATCTCAAGAATCTAAAATTACCAACAAAAGTCCTTCAGATGTTAGCATTATTTTAATGGGTATGTTCATTATGAAATCGGAAATGAAAAAGTAATCTTAAGCAAAAAAAAACTCAACAGCTAAGTCTTTCAATGATTTTGGGTTTAAATTAATTCTTCAAATAGTAGCATATATTTAAGCTCCAAATCGATTTAATCATTCTCGAAGTACAGTTAGATCTATCTAAATGCATTACAACGGAACCATATTAAAATTAGTCAAACGTAATTTAAAGCTGTATTTCATTTAAGGAAGTAAAATCTATAAGCATTGAGCCTAGAGGTCGGAACCGGTTGTAAATCAAAAAAACCGAATTAGATTTACATGCAAACCGAATTAAATCGGTTGTGTGAAATATATAATCAGCAAGAATTTTGAGTGGTTAAGATAAAATAAAATCGAATTGGAATATCGGATAACCTATATACTGTATTTACCGGTTTTACTACCAAAGCGATTTACTATTAAAACCAACTTAACCCGGATTTAAAATCAAATTATAGTAACCAATTCCGACCTATTAGTTGAGCCCAAATGACGACATGTATTTAGGGCTTTTCACAGGAGAAATTTAGCAGGTCGGCCAAATTTAGGGTCGAATTGTAGTGTTCCAAGCCGATTAAGTTAACCGCTTAGCTAGCTGATAGTCTAATCAGCCAGCTATAACGGCTAATGATATTAATTACAAATTTCAAAGTTGTTTAACTAAAATATATATAGTACAGGTGACCCCCGATAATATCAACCTACGTTAATATCAACCTAAGCCACAAATCAAGTTTTTACAAATT